CGGATACCCTGGCCGTCAGTGACGAGGGTTTCCTCCAGGAAGTCCTCCTGAATCTCAGCACCCAGCTCCAGGCTCTTACCTTTATCCTTGTCCTGGTCACCGTAGAACTTGCCGGCGCTGAGGACGAATTTGCCAAAATCCGACTTGTGTTTGGATTCGGTCCAGCGGTCGGTCCACCCGTCTACAGTATCAGAGGGGCAGGTCAGTGTGGCTGCGCTGATTCCTCCCCGCCCCCCATCCGCCCTCCGCGGCCGCCCAAACACATCTACCAGGAGCCACAAACGGCTGCAGGCAAGGGAGGAAATCCCCCGAGTGCCCGACCCCAACCTTCAGTTTGACACCTCCTGTAGCTTAAGGTATCTTCGGACGAACCCTAACTCCCGCCGCGGGAGGCCGCTGCGCCCTCCATGCTCCCCAGGGACGCGGGAAAGAAGTGTCGCCTGCGGCTCTAGTCCCCGAGGCCACCGTGTTGGCCCTCTGAGCAGTAATTACAGGCGACAACGCAGATCTGGGCTGGGGGGCCGGTCGCGTCGTCGGAGCGGCCTCGAGGCGGGGCCAGGCGTTACCTCCGTCCAAAAACTGCTCCTTGAAGTAGACGACGGGTTCGGCAGCGACCAGGCCAAGAAGGCCGAGCAGCAGCGGCACGGGTAGCAGCATGGCGGGCCGAGGGGGCGGCGGCGCGCAGCGGGCCCTTTAAGTCACCTCTCCAAAAGCAGCTCTGCAGCAGGGACGGACGCTGCCGCTGGCCGTACGTTTTTATACACGACCGCCCTTCAAACCAACATGGCCCGACCTCTTAGCCCGCCCCTCCTGCCTTTTCATTGGTTAAAAGCCACGGTTCTGACCTTCCATTGGGCCCTCCTCAGCTCAGCAGGTTAGGCTGTGCCTCGGAACGGTGGGATCCCAGATGGCCGATTTCTATTGGCCCCACCACTGGCCAATGAGGGTCGACCACGCGTTGTGGGGGACGCCCACCGGTGGGGTAGGGGCCTCCAGCCCCTCTGACCAGGTCATGTGACCAGACCTGGGTCCAACCCCGCCCTCGCTCGCGCGCTTAGCTCAGGATCCGGGCGTTTAAAGAACCAGCGCGCGCGAGAGAGCAGGTGTCATCCCGCAGGATTAGGACCCTGCTCCAGCCTTCCCTCCTCCTATCCCCTCTGCAGGGAGGTGTGAGCAAGGTTTTCTATCCTGCATTTGGAGAACGCCAGGTTCGAGGCGCCGTCTCTCTCTGCCTCTGTCCCTCTCCCACCGCACCCATTGCTCCTCCCCCAGGATGAAGCAGAGGCCACCAAGCGCGTGGGCTCTGGGTCCTCACTTCACACCCCACCCCGGCGCCGCAGTCCTGCAGGCCAGCAGAGAGAATTCTAGCTCTCCCCTCTGTGCGGTCCCTAGCGCCTGGCAGCCCGGACGACGGCTGCCGTGTGACCTGGCGCAAGCCCCTTAGCCTCCCTAAAGTCACAGGAGAACCAGGAAGAGCGACCCTGGGCAGGTGCTGCCCAGAAGAAATGCTTTCAAAGCTTTTAGGATATCCTGGGGCAGGGAAGGAAGCCCAGAAAGCTTGAAGATGTGACTATAGGCTGTGATTCCTAGGGCCCGGTAAGGTTGTTACCCGAATTGCAGCCTGCCTCTCCTTTACTACCCCGCCTCCCCCACCTCCACCCCCACCCCTCCACCTCCAGTAAATGAAAGGGGTCGCTGCTTTGTGGTCTTCCACAAACGGCCTGGCTTTTGCAATTAAACGGCCAAGGATGAGAGAGCAGGGGGTTCCGTTGGAGAGGAAGAAAGTAGACAGATGGTAAAGAAGATAAGATCTAAGGGAGAGGGGCAGGACTCCTGAATCTAGAGCAGTGGTTCTCAACCTTCGTAATGCTGCGACCCTTTAATACAGCTCCTCATGTTGTGGTGACCCCCAATTTCACTGTTACAAATTGAACATAATTAAAGCATAGTGATTAATCACAAAAACAATATGTAATTATATATGTGTGTGTTTTCCGATGGTCTTAGGCGACCCCTGTGAAAGGGTCTTTCGACCCCGGAAGGGGGGTCACAACCCACAGGTTGAGAAGCGCTGGTCTAGAGTCTTCTGAAGCCAGAGTCAGATGACCGTGTGGAACACCAGCTGCCTGTCTCCCGTCTTCAGGAAGGAGGAAGCAGGGTGAGGGGTTTCCCAAACTCTAACAAAAAGGCCCTGGGTCTGGGAACCTGGGAGTGAACTGAGGAATGGGGGGAGCTTTCCCACTAGTGGCAGGAACTCAGAAAAGGGAGGAAGGAGGGGTTTTGGAGAAGTTGGGATTCTGCCCCACCCCCCACCCCCCAGGCTGTATGGCCCAACCTGGCCCCCGTAGAAGGAGTCCCAAGTCTGGGGTGATCACTCCTGCCACTGACCCTCCTGGCTTCCCTCCCTTCCAGCAAGTGCCATGGACACGTGAGTTTGGTGTTTCCTGTCTGAGGGTAGACTCTGTGCTGTCTTGTTCCCTTCACCATTCCCCAGTGTCTCCTGCAGCACCTGGCACAGAGCAGGCTTAAAACCTACTTGATCTGTGGTAGAAGGAAGGACTCCAGGAAATTTTTTTTTGTAATGGGGAACGTGCTTTGAAGGAAAGGAGGGACTTTGAGGAATGTAATCTGATTTTTTTTTTTAAATATATTTTATTGATTTTTTACAGAGAGGAAGGGAGAGAGATAGAGAGTTAGAAGCATCGATGAGAGAGAAACATCGATCAGCTGCCTCCTGCACATCTCCTACTGGGGATGTGCCCGCAACCCAGGTACATGCCCTTGACCGGGAATCGAACCTGGGACCTTTCAGTCCGCAGGCCGACGCTCTATCCACTGAGCCAAACCGGTTCCGGCATGTAATCTGATTTTTTTTTAAATCAGGACTTCCCTGTAGAGTCATGATTGTGGGAGTATTAGTAACCCCATTTTCTAGGTTCAAATAACAAGTGTGATAGTTAAGTGAGTAAAGGCATACTGCTTAGAATAGTGCCCGACGCACAATCCACACTCAATTTCGTATTAACAAATGCCGCATACATGTGTGGGCACTATTTCACAATTCTCACAATAACCTGGGCTCCTATCTCCATCCAGGTGAGGAAACTGAAACAGAAAGATTAAGCGATTTGACTGAGTGACGCAAATGGCAGACCTGGGATTACAATGTACTGTGCTGTCTGACCACATGTGACTGTTGACCATTTGAAATGTGGCCGGTCTGAGCTGAAATGTAAATGTAAAATACACGTTTTCCAGGCTGAGTATGGAAAAAAGAATGTAAAACATTTCACTAGAAATGTTATAAAGTGTTGCCCTAGCTCAGTGGTCGGCAAAACTGCGGCTCTGCAAATCGTGGCTCGTGAGCCACATGCGGCTCTTTGGCCCCTTGGGTGTGGCTCTTCCACAAAATACCGACTTCTGCGCATGGGCCACGAAGTTTCAATCGCACTGTACGTGCGCGCCCGCATGTGGTATTTTGTGGAAGAGCTACACTCACGGGGCCAAAGAGCCACATGTGGCTCGCGAGCCGCAGTTTGCCGACCATGGCCCTAGCTGGTTCGGCTCAGTGGGTAGGGTCAGCCTGCGACTGAAGGGTCCAGGTTTGATTCCAGTCAAGGGCATGGACCTCAGTTGCAGGCTCCTCCCTGACCAGGGCCCTGGTCCGACTCCTGTAGGAGGCAACCAATCGATATGTTTCTCTCACATCAATATTTCTCACTTTCTTTTTTTCCCCCCTCACTGTCTTTCCCACTCTCTCTAAAAATCAATGGAAAAATATCCTCAGGTGAGGATTAAAAAATAAATAAAATAAATGTTATAAAGTGTTTCTTTGACGAATGGACAGATCAGATTTGGTTAGTTCTTTAAATTAATTTCACCCATTTTGTTTTTAGCGTTGCTACTAGAAAATGTTAAATTACATTTGTGCCTCACATTACATATCTGTAGGCCAGCACTGACTCAGACGGTGCACGATTGCCCTGACATCGGTCTCCTCAGAGCATGGAGTAGGGGGTTGGATGGGATCTGGGGTAACTGCAGTTTCTGATTCCATCCCTACCAGCTCCTCATAGAACCATGCGCAAATCACAGTACCCTCTGGGCCTCAGTTTTCACATCTGCGAAATGGGGATTATATCACTATCTACATCAGAAAGTTTTGGGGAAAATGAAATAACACACCTGAAGCACTTAACACTGGGCTGGGCACACGGGTGGGTGTCCAGGTAGCGGCTATAACTATAACCTGGACTATAACTGTTATTAGGTGGGTCCTTCTCCCCTCTTTAAATGGGGATGGCCCCTACCCCACCTCCCTTTGAAAATTTAAAAGTAGCCCTAGCTGGTTTGGCTCAGTGGATAGAGCATCATCAGCCTGTGGACTTGAAGGGTCTCAGGTTCAATTCCCATCAAGGGCACACACCGGGTTGTGGGCTCCATCCCCAGTAGGGGGCGTGCAGGGGGCAGCCAATCAATGATTCTCTCTCCTCATTGATGTTTCTATCTCTCTCTCCCTCTCCCTTCCTCTCTGGAATCAATAAAAAGTAGATATATATTTAAAAAAATAAAAGTAGTTGATATCAGCAGAATGATTAGCTCTGGAGCCCCCCGCCCACAGTTCTAGGGGGGCAGAGAGTCCCGGAAGGATCAGGGCTCCGAGGCCGAGAGGAGGAGGAAGCCCAAGGTCACGCCGCCCGCAGCCCGCCCGCTGCAGGTGGGGAGGGACGAAACCTAAACCAACGCTGGGACTGTCCTTCAGGCCAACCGGTTTGACCGCTCCAGTCAGCAGACGCCACAAGTCCAGCCAGAGCGGAGGTACAGACTGAGGAAAAAAAGAAAGAAAGAAAGAAAAAAAAGACTGAGTCCTTCCCACGCTTTGAGGTTCAATTGACACACTCAAGATGGCAACGCCCTGAGCCCCGCAGCACGACCAGCCGCCTTCAAGATGGCGGCGCGCTCCGGCGCCGGTTCCGCTTCCGGTTCCGGTGCTTCCGGTGTTTCCGGCCCTGGAGCCGGGACACGCTTTACGCTGCGCGCGGGGAGGAAGCATGGCGGATGGCCCGGTGGCCGAAGCGCTGCTGCGGCGGCTGGACGCGGCCGATGGCGGCCTGGACAGCGCGGAGCTGGCGGCCGAGTTGGGCGTGGAGCACCAGGCCGTGGTGGGCGCCGTGAAGAGCCTGCAGGCGCTGGGCGAGGTGAGCGGGCCTCGCGGGGGCACCGGGAGCGCCCTTCCCCGGGGGAGCTGGTGCCTCCAGGCCGACGCCCTCGGACCCCGTTAGGGGGAACCCAAGCGTGCGGCTCCGGGGGCGCGGGCGGGAGTCCGGAACGAACAAGGCCGGGCGCACCGCCGTCCTCGTGCGGGAACCGTCCTCTAGGGGATAAGCAGCCTTGGGGCGGGGGTTACTGCGGCGGAGAAGACGGGGACTGCGATCTAAGGGGGGGGGGGTGCTCTCGGACCAGAGTGCGCTGAGGCGCAGGGAACGCAGGGCCAGCAGCTGACCCAGCTGGGGGTCGGGGAGAGCACCCAGAGGAAGCTGGGTCTGCCTTGAGGAGGAAAGCCGTGGCACTTAGGGGATCAGAGGGGGGAGAGGGAGGTGAGAGAGGCCGCAGAGCCAGAATTTGCAAGGTCCTGTAGGGCCCTCACAGGGTACTGGGGAGCCATAGCAGAAGCTGGAGCGAGTCCGAAGTGTGTGTGGCCCGCATCACTCCTGGGAAGGACCGGCAGGGGCAGGATGAGGGGATGGGGGCAAAGGCTGGCACATCCCCAAACGAGAGGGCCTGGTGTCTGGCTGGGGAGGCAGCTGGAATGAAGAGGTGTCTTGCGATTCGGATAAGTGAAGGGAAATGGAGCCACAGGAGGAGGATGCTGAGGGGCCCGTGGGCCACCCAGGAGGCTGGATCCCGGAGGGGAGGACATAAAGAGAGGTCTGGGCTGTTCATACATCAAACTTAGGTTCTGTGCCCCACTCTGGTCTCAGCCTTATTTGCCGTTCAGTCCTTGCCATAGTCACAGGGTGATGGTGCGTTATTATCCCCACTTTGCAGATGTGACCACTCCTGAGTACTGAACAGTGACTTGAGCAGTGTCACTAGGAGAGACAGGCAAATCTGTATTTGAAAGTAGGTGGTGTTAACGTAAAAAACAAACAAACATTGCAACCTGTAGAGAATTTCTGTGAGTTTATTTGAGCCAAACTGTTGACATATGCCGGGAAGCAGAACCTCAACGAACTGAGATAATGCTCCGGAGAATGGCGTGTTAACAGTCACAGGAAAGGGACGTAGGTGGGTTACACGAAATCCATTGGTGATAGATTATAGGAGAAAAAGTGAAACGATGGACATATGCTTCCTTTACATAGATCAGCGGTTCTCAACCTGTGGGCCGTGACCCCTTTGGGGGTCGAACGACCCTTTCACAGGGGTCGCCTAAGACCATCGGAAAACACATATATAATTATATATTGTTTTTGTGATTAATCACTATGCTTTAATTATGTTCAATTTGTAACAATGAAATTGGGGGTCACCACAACATGAGGAACTGTATTAAAGGGTCGAGGATTGAGAACCACTGACAGAGACGGATACGGGATAGTTTAACATAATTAACAGTTGGAGATTAACTTGATAACAGTAACAATGAAGGAATGTCCTGGTGCCATTTGTTGTGCCCTGAGGGGTCCGGAAAAAAGGGAAGTTACCCAGACATTTCACTGATATGTTATCTTAGAGGCAAAAAGACAAATGGGCTCAGTAAAAATCTAAGTTGATCTTTGTCAGGGAAAATACTGGTTTAGGACCTGACTACCCACTATAATCTGTTTATAGTTACATATTTAATTTTCACACCACCTCTCCTGGTTATTTTAGGTCTCTGAGTTTGCAAGACTGCCATGCAGGCCTCCCCTGCGCTTGTCAGGTTAGCCTGTGGCCCCTTTCGTCCACAGTGCTCAGGCTGCAGAGGCCAAGGTTGTCAGTTCCGAGAAGGGATTGAAGCTATGTATGGCGTGTGGGGTGATAGTGTCGTGACTGGTGTGAAATTGACAATCCTCTGAGGTTAGAGCCCACCACACCTTGCTCTCATGGCTAAGAAAACTTGTTCCGGGAGGTTGAGCACCTTTCCCAAGGTCACAGCAAGTGAAGAGCAGAGCTGGGAATTAGAATAAAGGGGGAACTTGACACTTTAGTCGTTGAGATGCAAATGTGGAGGCAAATCAGTTTATGTGAGTTCTTTAAAATCTTCCCAAGTTGCCGAAACCGGTTTGGCTCAGTGGATAGAGCATCGGCCTGCGGACTGAGAGGTCCCGGGTTCGATTCCGGTCAGGGGCGTGTGCCTTGGTTGCGGGCACATCCCCAGTGGGAGATGTGCAGAAGGCGGCTGATCGATGTTTCTCTCTCATCGATGTTTCTAGCTCTCTATCTCTCTCCCTTTCTCTCTGTAAAAAATCAATAAAATATATTTTTCTTGCCAGCTTCAAAAGTGACAGAATTTGTCCTCTGCCGGGTAACACCCTTAGTCCTTTACCTCACCCCCGGAGGTATGAACCGTATTCTTGTTGTCCCTGTGTCATAGGAGGGAAACTGAGGCTCAGCAAGAGTAAATCACTTGGCTGGGAAGTGGTGCAACTGAGATGTGAAGCCGGCTTTAGGGGATGTGCTTTGATCTTGGCTTCAGTGCTGCGGCAAGGGGGTGCCCAGTCTGAACCTTGTCCCTGCCTGTGCCTCCTTTCTCCTGCAGATCATCGAGGCTGAGCTACGCTCCACCAAGCACTGGGAGCTGACTGCCGAGGGCCAGGAGATTGACCGGGAGGGCAGCCATGAGGCCCGGGTGTTTCATAGTGTCCCTCCAGAGGGCCTGGCCCAGAGTGAGCTCATGGTAGGGTCCAGGGAGCGGGTGGGAGGGCCTCGGGAGGTGATGGGGTGAAGGTGGCCCTTGTGTCCCCCTCACTCTAGCCTTACTCCCTCAGCGACTGCCCAGTGGCAAGGTGGGCTTCAGCAAGGCCATGTCCAACAAGTGGATCCGTGTGGACAAGAGTGCTGCTGATGGGCCCCGGGTGTTCCGAGTGGTGAGTCCCAATGGGCAGGCAGGTCGGCCTCTGGCCCTCACAGCCCTCCATAACCATCGTCCCATCATCGTGGCAGGTGGACAGCGTGGAGGATGAGGTGCAACGGCGGCTCCAGCTTGTCCGGGGCGGACAGGCTGAGAAGCTGGGCGAGAAAGAAAGGAGTGAACTCAAGAAGAGGAAGCTGCTGACTGAAGTGTGAGTGGCTGCTACCATCAGTCTCAGACCCATGTCACCTGTGTGGCCTGGAGTGGGAGAAGGGAAGGGAGAGCTGTTCTGGACACACTGGACCGAGGTTCTGTAAGTCCCGCCCAGGCCCTCTCCACACTGTGGTTGTGCAGCACACAGGCCAGGTTCATGCCACCAGGTTCAGGGCTATGGCACATGCTATGCCTCTGCCAAGAATGATCTTCAAGGCACGTTCCAGCATCCAGCCTCTGTTCATGTGTCACCTTATAGGGGCCACCTTTTCTCCCCGCGATTTCCACAAAAGCCACTCACCTAGTCTGTCTCTTTTTCCCTGCATATTTCTTTCACAGTCCTAAACCCTGCCTGAAGTTAATGGAATGCTGGGACCTGGACAGCTGGGTTCTCTGCTCTCCCAGGACTGCATCCCCTTTGAGCAGACACTGAATGGAGGTGGACTGCCCGGTGCAAGTCCTGGCTCTGCCTTTTTAACTCTGACCTTGGCCGGGTCACCTGATCTTTCTAGGACTCAAGTTATTTTTATCTGTAAAATGGCCCCTTTTCACAAGATTGTGAGGTGACTTCAATGGAACAGAGCTGGCATAGGATAACGTTATTAACCTAAACTTCACCTATTATCATCACTCCCAGCTGTATGCTTAGTGCCTTGGGCTCTGGCACACAGTGTGGTCCCAATAAGTGTTTGTTGAATGAATAAGTGAATGAACTCAGGACGTAGGTCGGGGCCAAATAAAAGGATTTTTAGATGACAGTAAATATCAGGAAGAAAATAAAGCAGAGTGACTTGGGTGGTGTTGGGTCAGCATCGTATGGGAGATCAATGGAAGCCTCTTAGAGAACTTGACAGTGGTTTCATATCCCCTTCCCTCCTCTGGCCATAGAACCCTGAAGACCTACTGGGTAAGCAAAGGCAGTGCCTTCAGCACCAGCATCTCCAAGCAGGAAGCAGAGCTGAGCCCAGAGATGATCTCCAGGTAGGGGCAGCCCCAGGGTCAGGGGTCAGCGGGATATAGGGGTGGGCAGTCCGCACCAGGCCCATGTACCCTGCATCCCCACCCACAGTGGCTCCTGGCGGGACCGGCCCTTCAAGTCCTACAATTTCTCAGCTCATGGCATCCTCCCAGACAGTGGCCACTTGCACCCCCTGCTGAAAGTTCGCACCCAGTTCCGGCAGATCTTCCTGGAGATGGGGTGAGCAAGGGGCCAGAAGTAGGGCCGGGCCAGCCACCTCAGGGCAAGGTAGTCAGGCCACATCTCCCACTAGGTTCACCGAGATGCCGACCGACAACTTCATCGAGAGCTCCTTCTGGAACTTTGATGCACTCTTCCAGCCCCAGCAGCACCCAGCACGAGACCAGCATGACACCTTCTTCCTGAAAGGTGAATGGGCCCTGACTTTTTCTCCCATTGAGATGGGAGCTATGGAAGTTTCTGGGCAGAGAGGGATGTGACTGGCTCGGGTGTTCCCAGATGCCCTCTGGCTGCGATGACAGGTGAGGGCAGAAGCTGCAACTGCCACTGTCTGTCCTGTGTACAGTGGCTGTTTGAGAAATGCTTCTTGACTGACCAGACGATGCTCTGTCCTTCCCAGATCCAGCCGAGGCTCTTCAGCTCCCTACGGACTACGTCCATCGGGTCAAGCGGGTCCACTCCCACGGTGGCTACGGCTCACAGGGGTGAGGCAGGACCGGGACTTTGGGGTGTTGGGGGAAAGGAAGTTGGGAGCCTGAGAGCATCACCATGGACTTCGGATTTCCTCCTGAAGGTACAAGTACAATTGGAAGCTGGACGAGGCCCGGAAAAATCTGCTGCGTACACACACCACGGCAGCCAGTGCCCGTGCCCTCTACCGCCTGGCCCAGAAGGTGCAGCTCGGCCTGGGTAGTGTGGGGACAGAGAGGGGACTGTCTGGCTGACCTTCTGACGCGTGACTTGGCCTGCCTGTCATCTCCAGAAACCCTTCACACCAGCCAAGTACTTCTCCATCGACCGTGTGTTCCGGAATGAGACCCTGGATGCCACTCACCTGGCCGAGTTCCACCAGATCGAGGGTGTTGTGGCTGACCATGGCCTCACCTTGGGCCACCTCATGGGCGTCCTTCGGGAGTTTTTCACCAAACTGGGTGAGCGGGCAGACCAGGGCGGGGGGGGGGGGGGGGGCACAGGAGGATGTCTGGGTCACCAGCCTTGTCTTCCAACCAGGTATCACCCAGTTGCGCTTTAAGCCAGCCTACAACCCCTACACCGAACCCAGCATGGAGGTGTTCAGCTACCACCAAGGTCAGAGTGGGACCTGGTGCTGTGGGAGGGAGGGAGGGAGGGAGGGAGGGACGGAGGGACGGAGGGAGGGAGGGGGAGGGAGGGAGGGAGGGAGGGACGGAGGGACGGAGGGAGGGAGGGAGGTCTGAGGCTTCCCCCTCTTAGCCCCGGTCCCCTCACTGCCAAGCCCACATCCTGCCTCCCAAGCTCACTGCCAGGCCCAACATCACCCACATGAGTTGCCCCTCCTTCTCCTGCCCTCACAGGCTTGAAGAAGTGGGTGGAGGTCGGGAACTCTGGGCTCTTCCGCCCCGAAATGCTGCTGCCCATGGGGCTCCCCGAGAATGTGTCCGTCATTGCCTGGGGCCTCTCCTTGGAGCGGTGAGTGCCCAAACCACTTAGCACGCGTTTGGCTGCTTTGTTTAGGGGACTTGCCAGGCATGGAGTCCTGTAGATCTTCAGCACCATTCATTCGTTCATTGACAAACTTTATTTTTTTTATTTATTTTTTTAAATATATTTTATTGATTTTTTACAGAGAGGAAGGGAGAGAGATAGAGAGTTAGAAACATCGATGAGAGAGAAACATCGATCAGCTGCCTCCTGCACATCTCCTACTGGGGATATGCCCACAACCCAGGTACATGCCCTTGACCAGAATCGAACCTGGGACCCCTCAGTCCGCAGGCCGATGCTCTATCCACTGAGCCAAACCGGTTTCGACTCATTGACAAACTTTAGTGAGCACCTGCTGTGGGCTCTGTTCTGTTCTGTAAATAAATAGCACACACCCCTGCTTCTGTGAAGTTGAGGTCCTAGTGGAGTGAGAAGAATGACAAATAAGTACATTTAATAAATAATGCCTAGAGTGGGCCTGAGTACAGTAACTGCTAGAGAGAAAGCCTAGCAGGAAGGGCTCACAGAGGAGGTGGCTTCTAGCAGACTGGTGGTGGATGACCTGGGAGGATATCTGGGGAGGGGAGTTCCAGGCAGAGGGAATTGCCAGTGCAGAGGCCATGAGGCTGGAGTGTGCCTGCTGTGTTTGGAGGCCTGTGTGGTTGGAGTGAGAAAGTGAGGGGTAGAGAAGTGGGTGATAGGGCAGATTGTGCAGGGCCTTATGGGCTATGAGAGGACTTGGGCTTCTATTCTGAGGAAGGTGAGTGCCCTCAGAGAGGTTCTGCTCAGAGGAGAACAGGACCTGACCTAGTGTTAAAGCATGTCCCCTCTTTCCCTCAAGCCCAACGATGATCAAGTACAACATCAACAATATCCGTGAGCTGGTAGGCCACAAGGTGAACCTGCAGATGGTGTACGACAGCCCCTTATGCCGTCTGGATGCCGAACAGGGGTCCCCACAGACACAGGAGACAACATGACATGGACCGCCCTGGACAGGCCACCCTCCCGAGCTCCTGCTGCCCAGCCCTTTGTATCCCTGGCCAGTGGACCCCTTTGTATTTATGAAGCCTCTGTGAGGCTATCTCCCTGTTCCTGGTATCTCCTCTTCCCCACCCGCCCCAGGGTTCCAGGGGCAGGGGGGCAGGTAACCCATTTGTTCTGATGGGTGGGCCCTAGGGAGCCCTGCAGGTGGCTGCTGGCTAATAAAGTGGGCAGTTACTTTTATCTGGTGCCTTTCCTTAGGAGTGGTGGGGTCCTGTTGGCTCTCCCAGCTCAGAGTGCGACTTGATGGGAGGAAACTTGGGTGCTAGTGTGAAGGGTGTTGGATTGGGGCCTCAGAGCCTCCTGGTCAGCTTCAGCCAGTCCTCCCTGGAAAAGATGAGCTTTTTCGAGTACTTACTGATCACTTACTGGTGCCAGGCCTTCTTCCAGGTGAATGAAACAGACCCCTTATCCCTTGGGACAGACGTTTGGGAGGGCAAGCAAGCTAAGCTTTTAAAAGGTGCCCCACCTCCCTTACTTTTAAAGACCTTTTTTTTTTTTAAGAATAGTTTATTGACTTTTAGAAAGAGAAACATCGATGCAAGAGTGCAGCATCCATCAGCACACCCCAACTTGGGATTGAGCCTGCAACCTGGGCACGTGCCATTGACCAGGAATTAACCTGGCAACTTCCTGGTGCATGGGCCAATGTCCAACCAACTGAGCCACGTTGGTTGGGGCTTAAAGACTTTTTTTAGACCAATTTTAGGTTCATAGCAAAATTGAGTGGAAGGTACAAAGATTTCCCATGTACCTCCTGCCCCCACACCTACACAGCCTCCCTCACTGTCAACACCTCCACTGGAGTGGTGCTTTTGTTAACACTAATGAACCTACATTGACACATCATGTGAACAACGGCACATTCTGTGTTGTACATTCTATGGACAAATGGATGATGACATGTATCCATCATTATGGTATTTTCACTATCCTGAAAGTTGTCTGCGCTCCCCATCTGTTCATCCCTCCAGCACTGCCCTCCCCCCCCACAAAAGAAACCCTGCTTCTTTTAAATTCTCCTAAGAACGTCAAATGAGCCTAAAATAGATGAATAGGATACAGCTTTGTGAGCCCATTGATCAGTGTTTGAGATCTCACACTTCAGCTTCCTCTGTATGTTTCTGTAGAAAATTTTAAAAGCAAATTTCATGTTGCTCACCCCATGTCTTGTGAACTTTTGAAAAGGTGGACAAGCTCTGGCCAGGTAATTCCATTGGTTAGAGTGTCTTTCCAAACCACCAAGGTTGCACGTTCCGTCCCCGGTCAGGATCAACCAATGAAGGCATAAGTGGAGCAACAAACCCATGTCTCTCTCTCCCCCTTCCTCTAAAATCAATCAATAAAAAAAGGTGTGGACAGTTTCTTGGGTGACCACAAGCCCACTGGCACACCCAGTGAAATTGACAAAGTCAGCTGAGGCCATGAACATCACTGGTCCCAGAGCCCAATGGGTACCAATCTCCCGAGGGCTCCTCAATCAAATCTTATCCTCTATTTCAAATAATTTAGTCATACAGAAAAAAATACTAATTCATGCAATAAATCCACACTTCCTACGTGCCAGCACTGTTCATGAGCTTTGGCAGTAGGCAAGTAGACTCAGGCCCCTGCCCTCAGGAGCTGACATGGGGGGCGGTTGCGCTGGAGACATGATAAATAAGGCATAATTCACTCAGGAGTCACCCCACCCCACCCCTGCTTTGGTCAAATCTGAACATTGACTATAGTGTTTGCTTTGGAACTTTCAGCTTTTAGACCTATGTGACCCATGGTTTGAAGACCTCCATAGCTTGTCTTAGTCCCGTGGTCGGCAAACTGCGGCTCGCGAGCCACATGCGGCTCTTTGGTCCCTTGAGTGTGGCTCTTCCTAAGCCTCAGGAGGACCCTAATTAAGTTAATAACAACGTACCTACGTATATAGTTTAAGTTTAAAAAATTTGGCTCTCAAAAGAAATTTCAATCGTACTGTTGATGTTTGGCTCTGTTGACTAATGAGTTTGCCGACCACTGTCCTAGTTAGTCTCTTCCACCCCCACCCTGCTGAGGTTATTACTCCTGAATTCGATGTTTATCATTCTCACATATTTAAACATTTTTTACTACTTGTATATATCACATTCCAAGACATGGCTTATTTCTGCATGTTTTTGAAAGTCATCCAAATGATGGTGCACCATAAAAATCCTCCTGCATCTTGTGTGTGGCTTTTGTTTGAGTTCTGAGTGTTGGTGTTTGTGTGTGCTTAACAGCAAGCCTCTGAGATTTTTCTCAGTAGATAGTCCTTCCAATTTTCAAATCTAATGGTGTAGGAAGATGTATTTTGTTTAACTTGTAGCTTTACCACAAAATATTGTTAGCTATTGTTTATTAAACTCTTGGTATGTTCCAGAAGTTTTATCCCTGAAACCCCTACAATAGCAGATATTTTAGATTGTATCACCTTGGGATTTGAGAGTGAGTAGCAGTTTTATGATCATCATCACGGGTAAGAGATCGAACCCAGATTCAAATCCATGTTTTCCAGAATGTAGGTGTCAAGATGAGTGCCCTCGCCCGGCCGGCCGGCGGGGCTCAGTGGTTGAGCGTCAACCTATGAACCAGGAGGTCACGGTTCGACTCCAGGTCAGGGCACACACCTGGGTGTGGGCTTGATCCCCAGTGGGGGGCGTGCAGGAGGCAGCCGATCAGTGATTCTCTCATCATTGATGTTTCTATCCTCCCTTCCTCTCTGAAATCAATAAAAATATATATATATATATTTTTTTTAAAGTCAGATTTGCATTTTATTTTTTTTTAAATATATTTTATTGATTTTTTACAGAGAGGAAGGGAGAGAGATAGAGAGTTAGAAACATCGATGAGAGAGAAACATCGATCAGCTGCCTCCTGCACATCTCCTACTGGGGATGTGCCCGCAACCCAGGCACATGCCCTTGACCGGAATCGAACCTGGGACCTTTCAGTCTGCAGGCCGACGCTCTATCCACTGAGCCAAACCGGTTTTGGCAATAAAAATATATTTAAAAAAAAAGGTGTGTGCTCAGTGTGTGGCTCGGGACAGCCTCCCGTGGGAGGGCTGAGCAATATGGAGGAATTCCCCCTGCCTCCACGTGGACGCTGTGACAGGTGTCCCAGGGAGGCTGCACCTCCTTCCCAGTCAGTTGGCACAAAATCCCAACCCTTCACCTCGCCCCCCAGCTCCTCCCTCTGCTCAACCACAGCCCCCCAACCCGGCTTCCTCCCCAACAGGCATGTGGCTGTTCACACTGAGCTTGCTCCCCTCGGGGCTGTGCGCACAGCTGTCCAGATCTGCCCCCTTTCCTCTGGGCTTATTATTGAAAGAGTTCTTTGTAGATGCCAGTACAAGTTCTTAGACATATATTGCAAATATTTTCTCCCAGTCTGTGGCTCCTCAGTGCCAACAATAATATTGTTACTACTAAGGCGTTATTGTTATTACTATTAAATGACGGATTCGTGCACGCGTGGGTTCCCTCAGCCTGGCCTGTGCCCTCTTGCCATCCGGGACCCCTGGCCCCCCAATTCCGGGGGATGTAGCGGTGGTGCCGCAGCGGCCTGGGAGGAGGTCGCTCCCCTCATCCTGGCCCCACTGCGCCTGACACCACCCCACCCCCTGCCGCTGCCTTTAGTTGCTATGGAGGCGAGAGAGGCTCCCGCAGCTGCGCCAGCCCTGAGACCGGCGGCTGGCCGAGCAGCGCTCCCGCTGTGGAGCGCACTAACCACCGGGGCAGCTCCTGCGTTGAGCGTCTGCCCCCTGGTGGTCAGTGCGCATCATGGAGACTGGTCGTTCTGGTCATTCTTGTCGACCAGCCCTAATGGTCGCTTAGGCTTATATATGTACAGATATGGGTCCCACTCTGTAAGGGCCAGGCCCACCCTGCTTTCAAGGAGCTTCTGGTTCTGGAGCGCACAGGTCACTGATTCAAGGTGGTAACTGAATGAACATTTTTATTAGAGGCGACAAGTCAAAATCAGGGAACAGCAAAGGTCAGAATTCGTTATTGAGCAGCCCTGGCCCGTGTGGCTCGGTTGGTTGGAGCGTCCTCCCGTTTACCAAGGGCTCCATTCCGGGTCAGGGCACATACCCAGGGTGCAGGTTCCAGAGGCAACCCATGGATGTTTCTTTCTTTCTCTCTCTCTCTCTCTCTCTCTCTCTCTCTCTCTCTCTCTCTCTCTCTCTCTCAGATCGATATAATATAATTTTAAAAAAATTTTATTGAAACTATCCCTTGACCCACGTTGGATCCAGAACCTCCAAAGCGCGCATGCGCGCGCAGAGACCACCACCTCACAAGCTTTCAGCAGAGCCCGCTGCGCGCGCAGCCCCAAGACAGCCCAACGGTCATTAACGGTCGACCCCGCCCCGCTGCGCGCGCACATCGCCAGATAGAATAGAGGCCGGGAGCGCGCGCCCCAGCAGGTCCGCGGCCCGGCGCGTGCGCAGAGGGCGCGTGCGAGAAGGCGGGAAAAGACAAGATGGAACGACAGGGAGTACGCGACGCTTGTTTTCCGCTCGCGGGCGGCGGGAGGATGGGCTGGAGACGGCGATCTCGGGCTTCCGCGCGGAACATGGGGGGTCACCCTCGCCCCGCCGGCCCGGATTTCCTGACTCACTGACCGGGGCCTGACTGACAGACGAACAGTGTGACTGACGCTCTGACAGCGGGGCCTGAAGGACAGACTTCCACGCATGGCGCGTGGCGGAAGCAGTTTAGAGACGGGCTCAGACGCCCATGTGCCGCACCCGTCTCTTCCTTGTTTTCTCCTCCCTCTTCTCCCTCCTCGAAGGACTCGGCTCAACGCAAATACCAGTTAGGAGCCCCGCACCCCAGAGCACCGTTTTCCCCCCTCACTCCCCGCCTCACCGGGCCTGCCCCGGCTCAGCCGTCTCTCCTGCGGGTCCCCCCTATGTCGGCCACAGGGGCGGGAGGAGGGTCTGGCCACTCGTCGCCTTCCCGCCTCCGGCCTCTCAAGCGCTGACTGTGCCCGCAGGTGGACATGCCCCACGCGGAACGTAAGGACCAGGAGCCGCCGCCGCTGGGGGAGAGCGCGGAGCCGCAGGCCGAGGAGAGCCACGAGAAGGAAGCTGGCTGGGGGCCGGCGAGGTGAGGAGGCCCCGGCCCACGGGTCCAAGCAGCCCCACGGGTCCAAGCAGCCCCACGGGTCCAAGCAGCCCCACGGGTCCAAGCAGCCCCACGGGTCCAAGCAGCCCCGGGGCCCGCTTCACCCCTGTCTTTCCCCGGACCCCACCGTGCGGGCTCTGGGCGCCTCTGACCCGCGCGCTCATGGAGCGTCTCCCATGGGCCTGGCGCAGTGCTAAGTGCTGGGGACACGGCGGTGAGCTGACGCTCTCTAGAGGGGGAGACAGACTGTAAACTCGGGATACGTGGTAGTCATGGGAAAACAGGGAGAAAATGACAGGTGGCTCGTTTGGATGAGGAGAGGGTCAGGGAGGGCTTCCTGGAGGAGGTGACGGGAGGGCTTCCTGGAGGAGGTGACGGGAGGGCTTCCTGGAGGAGGTGACGGGAGGGCTTCCTGGAGGAGGTGACGGGAGGGCTTCCTGGAGGAGGTGACGGGAGGGCTTCCTCGAGGAGGTGACGGGTGGGCTTCCTGGAGGAGATGACGGGAGGGCTTCCTGGAGGAGGTGACGGGAGGGCTTCCTGGAGGAGGTGACGGGAGGGCTTCCTGGAGGAGGTGACGGGAGGGCTTCCTGGAGGAGGTGACGGGAGGGCTTCCTGGAGGAGGTGACGGGAGGGCTTCCTGGAGGAGGTGACGGGAGGGCTTCCTCGAGGAGGTGACGGGTGGGCTTCCTGGAGGAGGTGACGGGAGGGCTTCCTGGAGGAGGTGACGGGAGGGCTTCCTGGAGGAGGTGACGGGTGGGCTTCCTGGAGGAGGTGACGGGAGGGCTTCCTGGAGGAGGTGACGGGCTTCCTGGAGGAGGTGACGGGAGGGCTTCCTGGAGGAGGTGACGGGAGGGCTTCCTGGAGGAGGTGACGGGTAGGGCTTCCTGGAGGAGGTGACGGGTGGGCTTCCTGGAGGAGGTGACGGGAGGGCTTCCTGGAGGAGGTGACGGGAGGGCGGTGGGGCCGGGAAGGAGGGCTGCGCTGGGCCGTGTGAGGGGGAGACGGACTCGGGCAAGTCACGGGGCCTGGGTGTGATTGCCCAGGAGAAGATTTGGGACCGAGGAGGGAGGGAATGACTCTACCAGGTGGGGCTGTTAAGGTTGTGCTGGAACACAGCCATGCGTGTCTGCGGACGCTTCCGCAGCGCTGAGCTGTTGCATCTGGGACTCGAAGGACAGGGAGCTAAGAAGACTATTGTCTGGACCTTTATGGAAGTTTGCCGTCCTCTGGACTGAAGTATTAACCGTCCCCCGGCTCCGGGTAGCGAACAGACTGTTAGGGCGAGAGTGGAAGCTGCGAGACCCGTGAGGAGGTATTTGGAATAATCTAGGTCCTAGAATCTAGGGGCAAGATGACTCTGACTTGAATCTACCGAGGTGATGAAGGTGGTCAGATTCTGGATATTTTTAAGAAGTTAGAACTGGCCCCAGCTGGTTCTGCTCAGTGGATAGAGCCTCGGCCTGTGGACTGAAGGGTCCCGGGTTCGATTCCGGTCAAGGGCACATGTGGGTTGTGGGCTCCATCCCCAGTAGGGGGCGTGTAGGAGACAGCCAGTCAATGATTCTCATCATTGATGTTTGTATCCCTCTCCCTTTCTCTCTGAAATCAATAAAAATATATTTTTAAAAAAGAACTGAAAGAAAATGCTAATGGATTAGATGTTGGAGTAAAAGAAAGAGCAGTGTCAGTGATGGCAAAAAAAAAGTTTTATCTTGCACATTATTTATTTAATTTTTAAAAAATCCTCCCCCAAGGATATTTTTTCCATTGGTTTTTTTTTTTTTTAATATATATTTTTTTAAATATTTTTTTATTGATTTTTTACAGAGAGGAAGGGAGAGAGATAGAGAGAAATATCGATGAGAGAGAAACATCGATCAGCTGCCTCCTGCACATCCCCCACTGGGGAAGTGCCTGCAACCCAGGTACATGCCCTTGACCGGAATCGAACCTGGGACCTTTCAGTCCGCAGGCCGACGCTCTATCCGCTGAGCCAAACCGGCTTTGGCTCCATTGGTTTTTAGAAAAGGTTGAAGAGAGGGATGGAGGGGGGCGGTGGATAGAATGAGAAAGAGAGAGAAATTTTGATATGAGAGAGAGACATTGGTTGGTTGCCTCCCACACTCACCCCAATCGGGACAGGGATCAAACCTGCAACCAAGGTATGTTATGTGCCCTTGACCAGGAATGGACCCTTCAGTGCATTGGCCAATGCTCTAACCACTGAGAACACTGGCCAGGGCATCTTGCACATTTATTTTTGTTTATTTTTTAAATATATTTTTATTGATTTCAGAGGGGAAAGGAGAGGGAGAAAAAGATAAACATCAATGATGATAGAATCATCGATCAGCTGCCTCCTGCACGCCCCCTACTGGGGGTCAAGCCCACAACCCACACATGTGCCCTTGACCAGAATCGAACCCGGGACCCTTCAGTCCACAGGCCAACACTCTATCCACTGAGCCAAACCAGCTAGGGCTCAAATATTTATTGAGGGTTGCCTTTGGCCAGACCAGAACAGGGTTATACAAATCAGAACAAATCAGAATCCCTGCTCTCTTGGAGCTAACTTTCACTTAGTAATATGTATGTGCTTAACATTCGTCCATGTATTTTCATTTCTTTTAAAGAAAACAAATTTTAGTCCGGCCTGCATGGCTCAATGGTTGAGTATCGACCTATGAACCAGGAGATCACAGTTCAATTCCTGGTCAGGGCACATGCCTGGGTTGCAGGCTCACTCCCCGGTATGGGATGTGCAGGAGGCAACCCATCCATGATACTCTCTCATCACTGATGTTTCTATATCTCTCTTCTTCCTTTCTCTGTGAAGTCAATTAAAAATATATTTTTTAGCCGAAACCGGTTTGGCTCAGTGGATAGAGCGTCAGCCTGCAGACTGAAAGGTCCCAGGTTCGATTCCGGTCAAGGGCATGTATCTGAGTTGCGGGCACATCCCCAGTAGGAGATGTGCAGGAGGCAGCTGATTGATGTTTCTAACTCTCTTTCTCCCTTCCTCTCTGTAAAAAATCAATAAAATATATTTAAAAATATATATTTTTTTTTAAAAGAAAGAAAAAATATTTAATTGATTTTAGAAGAGAGAAAGAGAGAGAAACAAAAAACTTTGATTTGTCATTTCACTTATTTATGCATTTGTTCGTTGCTTCTTGTATGTGCCCTGACCAGGGATTGAACGTGCAACCTTGGCATATCAGACAATGCTCTAACCAACTGATCTACCTGACCAGGGCTCATTTTTTTCCTTTTTTTAAATGTTTTTATTGATTTTTCTAGAGTGAGAGAGAAACATCAATCAGTTGCCTCCCTCTCTTGCCCCGACTAGGGACTGATCTGGCAACCTGGGCATGTGCCTTAACCAGTAATCAAACTGGTGACTCTTTTGTGCACAGGGGGACACTCAACCAACTGAGCCAAATCGGCCAGGCTGGGCTCATTTTTTAAAAATTTATTTAATATTTTTATTGATTTTGAGAGAGAGAGGAAGGGAGAGAGAAAGAAATATCGATTGGTTGCCTCTTGAAGGGATCGAGCCCTGGTTTGTGCCCTGATCAGGAATGGAACCAGTAACGTTTTTGGTGCACAGGACAACACCCAACTAACTGAGCCACACTGGCCAGGACATTTTTTGGTGTACAGGGCACACTCCAATGAGCCAGGCTCATTTTTTTGTTAATCCTCACCCAAGGATATTTTTCCATTTATATATTTTTTAATCTTTTTTTTTTTAGAGAGAGAGAGAGAGAGAAACATTAATGTGAGAGAGACACATTGGTTGGTTGCCTCCTGCACACGCCCCGACCAGGGCCAGGGATTGAGCCAGCAACCTAGGTACATGCTGTGCCCTTGACCAGAGTCAAACCTGGGACCCTTCAGTCCTCAAGCCGACGCTTTATCCACGAAGCCAAACTGGCTAGGGCAGGGCTCGTTTTTGTTTAATATATATTTTTATTGATTTCAGAGAGGAAGGGAGAGGGAGAGAGAGATAGAAACATCAATGATGAGAGAGAATCATTGATCGGCCGCCTCCTACTGGGGATCAAGCTCACAACATGTGCCCTTGACCCGCATCCGGAATCGAACCTCGGACCCTTCAGTCCCCAGGCCAACGCTCTATCCACCAAGCCAAACCAGCTAGGGCAGGGCTCATTTCCTGATAGCTCATTTCTTTTTAGCACTGAATAGTATTCCACTGTGTAGATGTACCACAGTTTATTTATCTATTCACCATTTGAAGGATATTTTGGTTGCTACCAACTTTTGGCACTTATGAATTTAGCTGCTATAAACATTCATGTGGACCTAAGTTTTCAACTCCTTTGGATAAATACCAAGAGGCACAATTGATAGATCAAGTGGTAAGAGGATGCTTGTTTTATAAAAAAAAACTGCCAAACTATCAAAGTGGCTGTACCATTTTATATTCCCATCATCAATGTATGAGAGTCCCTATTGCACCACATCCTTGCACTTGGTGGTGTCAGTGTTTTGGATTTTCACCATTCAGATAGGTGTGTAGTGGGATCTCATTGTTTTGATTTGCAGTTTCCTGACGTGGTATGAAGTTAAACATCTTTCATATGCTTTTTTTGCCATCTATGTATCTTTTTTGGTGGAGTGTCTTTTGCCAGTTTTTAATGTTATTGATTGATTTGAGAACGAGAGAGAATGGGAGAGAAAAACTTCAATTTGTCATTTCACTTATTTATGCATTTTTTGGTTGATTCTTGTATGTGCACTGACTGTATATCGAACCCACAACCTTGGTATATCGGGAGGGATGTTCTAACTAAGCTACTCGGCCAGGGCTTTTGCCCATTTTTAGTGGTGTTCTCTTACTGTTGAATTTTAATAGATCTTTCTCTCTCCCTCTCTGTCTTTTATCAGATATATGTTTTACAAAGATTTTCTTCCATTCTATGTCTTGTATTTTCATTCTCTTAAAAGTATCTTTTACA